AGTCATTTACATCTGTAAAAATCATGTTAGCTATCTGGTGATCTTGGGAGTGTGATGGCTTCCTATTTGCACCCTACAGTAATTTTAAATGTTGAAAAGATTCTTAAAAATCTTCTATGGTAGGAACCATCGGGTGGCCCTCAAAAGTATCTTTCTCTTTTTCCTAGCAATTCAGATCAGCTGGCAGACCTTTACTAATGGTCCCCAGATTCTCATCTGGGGACAAGTTAAGATCAGGCGGTATATTTATCCATACAAGCTTATCAGGAAATTCCTTTTTCCCATAATTTCATGGAGCCCTACTCTGACAACAATTGGGAGAAATCAAGCATGCAGCCAGGGTATAAGCACAACCATCCTAGAGAGTACCACAGCTATAACTTTTTCCCCAACTGCAACCATCCTGGTACATTATACAGAAGAATTACGGCAGCCAATAAAATCAAACCAGTATGGAAAAATGTATTTGTTTAGCAGAGTTTTAGCAGGTAAGGCAAAACCTACCCATCGTTCAGATAAACTCAGTCATCTGAAGATTTTGATTAATCTAACTCTGTGCCTTATATAGGCTTATGTGAATTAAATCACAGTTGAAAGATGGATGCCATCTTTTGAATTATAGTGGCTGAACGTGTGTGGTCGTATCTGAGAAACTGAGGACATCCAATTATATTTATCATTTGCCTCCTCTTAAAGCTTCTTTCTGTTCTTACCTCTTGAATTGACAGTGGGAACATGGAGGTTGCAGTGGAAATTGTCCTAAGGAATTTGAAAATAATTGAAGTATGAGTCAGACTTGGAGATCAGTTCCGAATGAATCAGAATGCAAAAGACCCTTGGGAACCTCATTTGTCCTTCATTCTAATAAATAGCAATGATCAAAATTGTTTCACTTGAACAAAATGAACATGGGGCAACTCTTGCCCTCAGCATATTTAGCTCATGATAAAGTCTGAGCGGTGAACAGGATTCTGACTATTCACAGAGATAAATGCTTCTGGCAAAAGAAGAAAAAGGAGAAGGAGGAGAAAGGAAAAGGAAAGAGGAAGAAGAGTAAGGAAAAGAGGAAGAAGAGGAAGAAGAGCAGGAAGAAGCAGAGGAAGAGACAAAGTTCTCAGAGCAAAGTAAGAAAAGGCTTGGAAATGATAAGTTTATTTCCAATTCTCAATTCCCTGTTTCATTTTGCTAAGTGGGTTTAAGGAGCAATGCTGGCAATCTGCTAAGATTTGCATACTTAAACACAGTATGAATCATCTTAAGTGCCTTCTTTTGTTGTTTCATTTTAGCTCAGTGAATGTCTGGACAATCAGTGTTTACCGAGCATCTTCTCTCAGATAAAAGTATTTTGAAGAAGAAAAACAAAAGACTATAATGGTCCTTCTCTCCTAAGGGACTCACAATTGGCTACCTGGCCTATAAAGATTTGCTCTAAAATGGAAGGCAGTAAATAAAACTGAGGAGTAAATCCAATGAGAAAGTTTCAGGATCATATAAAGATGAATAAATGACTTTCATTTCTTTTCAGTTCTTTAATAGTACATGCAACAATTTTACAAAAGACTGATAAAAGTTAAAGATTAGTTTTTTGAGCAATGCCTAGCCTAAGTCAATTTCTATTATCAGTTTTTGTATTTGAAAATAAAACACAATTTCATAATAACATAAGAGAATAAAAATACTTGATATACTGTGTATCATCATCTTCAAAATATATACTCAGTATAAAACACAGACTTAGATTCCTACAAAAAAAACTAACATAATAGGAAGAAACGCTTAACTCTATTATCACATGCTCGCTTCAGCAGCTCATATACTAATAATTTTGAAATATATCCTGGGATATACTACAAAATAGCATCTTATTGTTCTTCACTTAAAATATCTTAAGTCCGTCTTATCATTAGTGTCAGAGACGCCTGCTTTCCTTTGTAGTCACATACTTGTTCATTATGTGCCACTTACAGATAGTTCCACTATCTTCTATTTCTGTTCTTAATTATTCTGAGGAAAAGTCAAAGTTAGGCTCATTGTTTACCATCTTCTACATAAAATACCTTATTTTTTTCAGTTTTTAAATGTAGTAAATCTACTAGTATATTTGTTTACTTTAATCACTATGTGTTAATACTTTTTGGCACTCTAATTGGGTTCAGGCTTCTTTGGGTTATGAAAATCTTTCTGGAATTGTATCTTTAGCTTTCCCCCCATTTCATTATTTGATTCTCTTTTTCAGAAATACTAAATATTTGCCTGTTATTACATTTTGCCTCCCATATTTATTATTTATAAAAATCAGTAGTTTGACCTTCTGCTCATGATGTTTTATTTTACCAGCTTTTCTCAGAGCTGTCACATCATTTTTTTTTTGCCATATTCGCAGTACTTTTTAGTTGCCCTTCTGTTGTTTCTAAGCAGAATTCATATGTGATCATTTCATTGTGGCCAGTTATTTTCCGAGATCTTCTTCCATTGCTTCACCACATCATCTTCTTACATACATGAAGTTTTGATGAAGATAGTTGATTTGTATAAAAAAAATTTAACATAGGCTAATATTTTAAATCCAAACACCATCTGTTTTTGGAAGATTTTTTTTAGGTGCAATGTGTCCATCTGCCATTTATATTTGTTTTTTCTAATCCTTTCTCTATTACTTCTCTCTAGAGCCACTTCTTGGCTCTTTCCTCTCTCACCCTTCAGTTTATTACCTGCCTTCACGGAGCAGATGTTTGTGAGGGTCTCTACGGCACAGAGCTGATTAAAGAATTTTCTAGAACTTCCAGAGATTCGTAGTGCAGATCCTCCCCACCACACAGCTCACAACTACAGCACGGCTGTGTCATTTCTCACTTACACATACCCACTACTTATCCTTCCCCCAAGAGCCCACACACTCGCCACCATTCCTAACTATGATGGTTTTACTACTCAGATTGTGACACCTGCTTGGAAAATCTATGTTCTGTGGATTTTGCCCAGGAACCCCCATTTCACGCATACTGGCTGTATCACTCCACACTTCTCCACTTCTTCACCACACCTGTTCACCTTTGTTCATGTTCTGTGTTTGGGGTGGTAGACGACTCACAGTTCCACTGAGAATGGATCTGTTTCATGGTCCTAATCTCCTTATTTTCCACAGTAAAAAATGGATGGAGCACCCTCTTTATTCCATCATAAAAGGACCACGTAACATTAACCACTCACCACTAACATACTTGTCCCGTGCCTTCCCCCAAGACACAGTTGATGCCTGCTCCAGTTGATCCTTCCCCAGCCAAGACCACGGATGATCTGGCAGACAGTGAGATACCATAACTTCCTCACAATGCAGCTGAGACCAGAAACACAGTGAATAACATGCAAGAGAACTGCGAAGAACACTTCTGTTAACAGCCAAGACAGCTCACAGAGCTCCACTTAGAGCTCCCAAGGAGGACAGAGCTCAGGATGGGGAAGAAAGAGTGGTGGCTCCCACTGAGTTCCTTAGTGTTTCTACACGTGTCCTTTGAAGGAAGGTTAAAAACAAATGCATTCTGTACAAGTGATCTCAATGCTGAAACTGTAGGGAAAATATGGGTTTTATCAACAATAATGTTAATGGAATATCCTTAACAGTAATGTTAGCTGTAGGGCTTTCATAGAGCTCTTTATCAAGCTGAAAAAGGTTCCATTTATTCCTCACTTCATGAGAATTTATTCTTTCAAAAATAGGTTTTATCCATTCTGCAAAAATTGATATGATCATGAGAGTTTTTCCTCTTAGTTTTCTAACAGGAGTTTATAATGGTTGATTTTCAATTGTTTAAATAGCTTGTGTTCCTGAAATAAATTCCACCTGGGCAGTGTAGAGTTATTTTTATATTGCTGCATACCATTTGTGACTATTTTGTTATAAATTTTTCCATTTATATTCATTAGAAGTATTGGTTCTTGGTCTGAGAGAATCTTTTTTGTACAGTCTGTCTTTGGATACAGTATTACTATCTTCTTAAAAATTAAGAAGTGTTGTTTCTTTCTGTTTTCTGAATAAATTGTTGAATTGGTATCAATTTTTAATCACATGGTCTAATGTCCAGGGAAACCATCTGAGTCTATATATATCTTTGTTGAAGTTTGAAATCATTAATTTTCTCAATAGTTACAGGGTTATCCAACTTATCTACTTCATATTGAATTAGATGTAGTAACATATTTTCTAACAGTCTGTTTTGGCTAAGGCATGAAACAAATGGAGTTGAGGATAGATTTTTCTCCCTATCTTATCTGCAGGATTTTTAGTAATAACTTACAGGTTATCTATATATCACATATATATATATATATACTTGTTTTTCTTGTCAATCTTGCTACATATTTGCCAGTTTTATAGCTCTTTTCCAAGTGATTTTCCACTTCATTGATTTTTTTGCTTTTAACTTTCAGTGTCATTATTTTCTTATGTTTATTATTTTCTTCCTGATAGCTTTAAATTATTTTCTTTTCTTTTTCAAAATTATTAGAGCTTAGATTATTGATTTAATACTTTTCCTATTTTCTAATATTTGCATTTAATACCACAAATTTCTCTTAGCACTTTTCTAAATCCCACAAATTCTGATATACTGAGTCCTCATTTTCATTTGGTTTGATACATTTTTAAAATATCTCCTGTTTGTGTTCTTCTTTGACTTCTGAACTTGGAAATATGTTATTAAATCACCACATATTTGGAGATTTTCCTGTAATCACTCTATGATCAATTCCTAATTCTTTTTCACTGAGTCAAGGAATACATTTTGTAGGGGTTTCATTCTTTACAATTTATTGCAAAGTATTTTATATCCCATCGTGTGGTCTATCTTGATATAATTTCTACAAGCATTTGAAGAAAACAGGTAGACAATCCTTGATTTATGATAATTCAACTCATAATTTTTTTTTTACTTTACATGGTGAGAAAAATAATACACATTCAGAAGAAAATGCACTCTGAATTGTGAATTCTCTTTCCCCAGGCTACAGCTATGCAACACAACACCCTCTCAGGATGCCTGGCAGCCACCACCACAGGCTGCAGCTCCCAAGAAGCCAGCCACATAAAGGAAAACACGTCAACAATATACTGCAGCCAGTGCTTCGTGCCAAAGGGATTTGATAAGGTGCATGAGATATCAGCACTGTGTATTATAACACACTCTGTGTTGAAAGATTCTGCTCAACTCTTGACTAACACAAATGTTCTGAGCATGTCTAAAATAAACTTAGACTAACCTGTGATGTTTGGTGGATTAACTGTATTAAATATATTTCTAACTTCCCATATTTTAATCTTAGGATGAGTTTTTCAGGATGGAACCCTACTGCAAGGTGAGGGATATCTCTATATCACTGTTGTTTTGTGCAGTGTTATTTAAATATTGATTCGATACATATGTCAGTTGATGAAGATGCTCAATTCTTCTATGTCCTTACAGATTTTCTGTCTAGTTGTTCTGTCTATTTTTGAGAAAGGCTGTTACAGTACACTGTTACATGTGTGACTATGTATGTTACTCTATCATTCTACCAGTTTAGCTTATTTATTTTGTGGTTGTCCTTTGATGCATAAGCATTTGAAATTACTGCCACTTTGGTCGGTAGACAGTTTGACCATTATATAATATCCTCTTTGTGGCTAGTAAATTCTTTGTCCTGAGGTCTAGTCTGCATGATATTGATGTATCTACTTCTTTGTTTACAATGTAGTTTTCTTTTAATTTTCAGGTGTTTAATTATGGTGTGTTTGGCATGTGTTCCTTTGGATTTATTCTGTGTGGGGGTCATTCAGTTTCTCGAATTCATAGGTTTATAGCTTTCACATTTGGGAAATTTCCAGCCATTATTTCTTTGAGCCCTTTTCCACCCATTCTCCTCCTGTTCTCCCCACAGGATTGTGATGGCACAAATAACAAATCTTTATGATAGTTCCCCAGGTCCCCAAGTCTATTCACTTCAGTTATTTTTCTCTGGTTTTTCAGATTCAGTCATCTCAGTTTCTCTGTCTTTCTGTTCACCGATTCTCTTCTCTTCCTTCTTTGTCCTGCTCCTGAAGGCTTCCACTGGATCCTTTTTGTTGGTTACTGATTTGTTCAGTTCTAAAATTCACAAGTGCTTCTTTGTGTGTTGTTTGCTGACACGGTGTCCCCTGGCTGAGGCATCTTAGATTTGTCATTTGTTTCTCAAGTGTGTCTGCTCCGTGAAATACTTTTATCACAGGTACTTTAACATCTTTGTCAAGTGTCTCCAACTTCTCCATCAACTTGGTATGGATGCTACTGTTTTCTCATCCTCTTTGAGAACTTCCGGGTCTTCAGGACTGCTTTTCAACTGAAACATAGACATTTTTGTAATATATTATGAAATTGTGTACTTAAATCTTAGTTTTAGTTCTTTTCCTTTTGCTTTGCTGTATGTTTTGTTTGACACTGCGCTGGCAGGAAAGAAGAGGAGGATGTCACCCCATCACTTGGAGACAGAAGTATAAGTTTGCAGCTCAGCCTCCACTGACTCCTGGAGCCTGGGGACAGTGCGGTCATCACTGTTTGATAGGGTGGTTGTTCCAGCTCTCTGTATGGTATCCACTGGGAATGTCCTTACCCCAGCAACAACAGTGAATGTCCTGACACTCCGCTGAACAATGCCTCTAGGAGGAGTGGGGGTCCTTTGCTGCCACCCCGTAGAGGCTTAAGTACATACAGCTGTCCACCTGGTCTCCCCACTGACACTACTGAGTGAGAAAGGAGTCTGGCACCCTGCTGAGTCTTCTCAAATCTTACCCTATGAGAATACTGGGGTGCCTCACTGCAGCCTAAGCATTGGGAGGTCTGGCCTCCCCCTTCAGCCTTGCTGCTCTACGTAAGCATGAAGCTACAGCTACTGCTGTGGTGCCTGCTGAGAAGCATTTGTTGTCTAAAAGTTTCTGTATTTCTAAGCTGCTCTCTTCCTGGCCCTTTGATTAGAGAGATCCATCTTTGGGTTAGGTTTTGTCTTGTTTATGCTTGTCAGCATTTCTGAGTGCTTTGATTCTTCTACTTTAAGTATAGGCTATGAAAGGGGAAAAAGAAAACATTGGGAACTGATTACCATGTCTCTCTGTCTGTCCCACAGTCCCTCGTCAGTCTGCCCTTACTCTTCTCCTTTCTTATTCTCCTTATGTTTTTAATTGTACTCAAGATCCAACAAGGATCCAACTATGTCTACCCATGTTGAGGCTCTGTCTTAAGTCATTCTCACAATAACCATTCAACAGCAAATTAGTAACATCTCCATTTTACATATGAAGAAGCTGAGTCACAGAGTGGTTAATCAGCCTGTCTAAAGTCACACAGCTCATTGTGACAGAGCCTACTCTCAAACCAAGAACTTTGGCTCCAGAGTCAAGGAGATTGCTAGCACTCTTTTTAAGTAATAAATCGTCATGAGGAAGCTCTTCATTTGCCTTAAGTGGCCTGTCCCTACAGGGCTGGATTCCTGATAATTTCACCATAGTTGAAAGTGTTCTCCACAGAACATACTTCTTCAGGGTATGTACTCCAGTCTTTCTTCATTCCCAGCCATGAATATTCCTCAAACTTCAAAAGTACATGTTATAAGTGTAAACATTATTAATCACATTCCTTTTTTTGAAAGTCCACTGGAAGAGCCAATAAGAACTTCAAAATGAAAGTCATGCATGTAACTGTAAGCCATTTGTTCACTGATCAGATCCTCTTAAATCAGTGTTTGATTTTCTGGCAACACCTTGCTGGATTATAGTCAAGGAATAATTCTTTTGCAGGCTCTTTTTTAAGTCACTGCTATGCTTTCAGTCTTCACCCCATTCCTCTCAATATGGGGTCCCCATGTCTACTACCTTCTTCCACACTGTGCATCATGAGAGCATTGAGACAGAAAGACCCTGGGATCACTTCACAGGGGATAACTACATCACTTAGATAACAACATGCTGTTTCTTAATGGTAAAACTAAGACTAGAACATAGTAATACACCACACACACACACACACACACACAGAGCCTTCTTCACCTCTACTGAAGGATAGTAAAACAGTCTTATTTCATGGACAAAGTCATTTCCATCCCTTTTATCCAAACTTTTCCTGAAAGACCACCAAAAACAAGCACCACTATAAAAACATAGGTGGGGAAGAAGAGCAGGGAAAAGAGATGGATGGTGCTGCTATCCCATCAACAGCCTGAACGCGCACACTCTGTTGGCCAATCATGAAAAGACTATCAAACTCACTTCACCAGCAGTAGTCCCATTCCATCTCTGAGCGCCTTCTCCTCCTCTCCATCTGGCCCAACTAGGATCTTTCGTTCAGATTTTTCCAGCTTCCTGAGTGAAAGCCAGCCCCTTTGGCTTTCTGTTGTCAGCCTACTGCAGTAATTTTCTGGAAGCCTCTGGTTATGCCATATTGCTCAATGAAGAATTGTATTATTAAAGTGACTTTATCATTCCATAAACATGCCACTTGCAGGCTTCTTGTTCCATATGGTGACCTGCATCACCCACTGCATTCAACCCAGGTCATTAACACTCATGCCAGGTCCCTTCCACAACACACTTCTGTGAAAGCCTGTGTAAAGCCTGTGTCCTAGTGAAATAACTTGTCTTTGATGCTCAACTAACTGCAGTATTTTTAAAAGGCCACCAGAAACTAACAAATGCAGATGTTATGAAATTATTGTAAACTGATCAATGCTTTTAAAAAAAGGTCATGATGTAAGCAAGAGAATGAGCACAGAAAGAACAGTCTCTGCTCATTAACATAATGGATTTCACTAAAGGTGAACCCTTTTCTCAGGACACAGAAGATAAGGGCATGGTGATGAGGTCATCTGCAGAGTATATAACATTTAAGTCTCTGGTTATGGTTTTCCCAGTTTTATTTTTCTGTGACTCACAGAATGTTCCATCATGGTCTTGGGCAAAGCATGGTCTGCCTGGTTATCCTTAATTCTGTAGATTCCTATTGCATACACACATGACAGATGGGCTTCTCCTCTGTAAATATCATACACACTGCCAGGAATCACTCTGTCCTACAGCAAATAACTGTCAAGCTTGAAAATATGTGGTGACTGAGAAAAAAAATCAAACTACATGACACTGGCCAGGTTTTTTTGTTTATGTTTGTTGTTGTTGTTTTGTTTTGTTTTTGTTTTGAGGAAGGTCTTCCTGTGTAGTACAGGCTGGCCTTGAACTCACAATGATCTTCCTACCGGAGTCTCCCAAGTGCTGGGATTCTAAGAATATGCCAGCCACTACATCCAGCCTGGACAGATTTTTTTTTTAAATGGGACCCTCCTAATATTGGGGACACACAGTTGCAAATCAATTAATATTTTATTTGCTGTAGAGACCTTCAAGAAATAAAAATGCTTAAAGCATAGAAATTCTGAAGTTTTGGCAACGCAGAAAAAATATTATCAACTGATCATAGATTCTGTGTGTCCAAGTACTTGATAATCAGTCTCAGAGTGAGCAGGGTCTCTAGTTGCACTACAAAAATATATGAGGGGCGATACAAGTTGCCTAAAGTCACAAGAAGCTCAGGATTTGATTTTCAGGCACATATACTCTTTCTCATATGATGTCTTCATCTCAGGGGGGCCAGGTGACCAGTATGCCTGCTTCTTCTCAGAGAAGGCTTTCTAGAGAACGTCTCAGAAGTCTGAAGAGGTTAGCCAGTAGATCCTGTCCCAAACTCGATAACCAAAACAACCTGCCCGCCGCGTGTTTCTATCATTCCTTTCAGCTTCTGCAAGTGTCCTGGCCATCTATTATTGTTGCTGTTGTCATTGTGGTTGTTCTGTTTGGACTGTTTAATATGGAAAATAAGTCAAGCACCATTTTTTTTCCTCCAGGAAAGGATGCTGTTCTCAGAGGAACAATGCAAGTCAGCCTTTCCATGAGACACTTGCATATCATCTCTCTGTGGTCCAACCCTTGCTACTCTAGTAAACCCAACCAGATAACTCTCTCCCTTCTCCAGTCAATTAAACTGTTTGTAAATCTCTAAACATATGATCCTTGATCTTGGTTCCAACGCTTATTATAGTTTTCAGTAAAGTCTCTGCAGTGAACCTTCTTATCTTGCCAGGAGAGTAACAGTAGAATTGATGCAACCGATAAAGAAGTGTTTCATTTTCCATTTTAG